TATAGTTACAAATACATGTAATTGTAGTTACATTTTTTTTCTCAGTATATTACATATAATCGTTTGAAAAACAGATCAAAAAGTACAGCTGCAGGCTTAATACAAACAAGCAAGGTACCAATATTACATTTTTCAATGATTTTAATTACAATATTTAATCTTCTGCCGGCAACATGAATTTTAACTCTTCCGCCAGCAACAGGGAAACAGAGCAAATTTTTTATTGTTACGATATAAAAATCTGAAAAAATTCTGGTATACCAGTCGAAGCATTAACAACGAGTTTTTACCATCAAATTGTATTTTACTTATTTTTTATTTAAATTTATCTACCAAAATTCACAATCAAAATATCAATAAATTTAATAATCTAAAATTATTTACATCTTTTATGCCCGTTTCTATGAATTTATTAATAGATTAACTTTAACCTTAGTTCAACAAGATTAATTTCTTCTAACAATATAGATTAATCTCCGTTTAAGTAATCTCTTTTTCTAATTCTTAGAAAATGATAAAAAATAAGTTAAATCGAGATTAAAATTAATATACATTGATAGAAACGCGCATTAGAAGTAGAAAAAGATCAATTAATTGAACTAAAATTAAAATGAAACGACATTAGTGAAGATATAAGTATTGGAATTTTTTTGTCAAGTATTTATTCATTATTAATTGAAATAACAAGTAAAAATTATCAAATAACCTGCCAAATGTTAGACATTTAGAAACTAGCGGGGGCTAGAAATTGACACATGGTCGTGACAATCAAAAGATTCACAAAGGATGAGAACCGCTTTCGAGAGGTAACGCACGATTCCGCGGCACGCAACGGCGCATCGCTTCGTGGCTGCTTCTCTGGCAGGTGTATGAAGCGAGAAATAAAAGAAAAAGGTGTTCGCGGAGGCTGACTGCTGAGGAAACGAGAGGAAGAGAGAGAGAGAGAGAGAGAGAGAAGATAAAGGAAAAGAGAAGAGACATGAGAAAGAAGGAAAAAGGATTCGATTTATGGACTGTCGCATTACATCCGAGCGATTAACCACTAACGATTCGTACGATCGCGGTGACGTTCCGGCACGTGGGTACGAAACCGCGATAATACGAGAGATCGACTGGGAGCGGAACGGAGCATCGCGACGGGGATCATCTCTTTCCCGGAAGCCTCCCTATCGGCGCTCACCCTCGCATTCATATGAGCATGCTCTACACGTTCACACACACACACACACACACACGCGCGCGCGCGCGCACGCGCACGCACACACATGCACACGTACACACATACACACGCACATACCGCTCACACTGTTGCACATGACAGCGAATGGCGACGGACGTCTCTTTAACGCGTTTCTAGGTTATGTTATTCGCATCCCGGCGCGGCGCCGCGATCCACGCGAGGGCGAGGATGAACCCACGGAGGGATAATCGTAGAATAGTAAGAGAGTAACCAGGACGCGGGGAACACGAGGTAGAGAGCCGTTGCTCTCGTCGCTAGTTGTCGTCGACGGGGCAGCACTGTCCAGGGCACTGACAAGCGAACCAAAACACAGAGCGAGGTAAGGCCCTGGCGGCCGTCGACGACACGATCGGCCGACGCGCCGATCCTCGGCGCGATCGCGGGCTCGATCGACCGCTGGCCAAAACGCCGATAGGATTTGACAATACGCACGACGCACCGGGTAAAGACACTAGACACACCGGAGAAGGAGACAGAGGGAGAGAGAGAGAAAGACGTCCGTCGCTTTATCCTCTACACGGGCCACATACGGCGCAAGGTATACCCGTGCGCGAGAAGAGACACGGACACTATCGACGACGCACACTCACCAGACTGCTTGTTGGCGATCTTGTTGAAACAGTTCTGAAAGACCTCGTAGAGATGCATCGGCTCGTCGTCGCTGGCCGCCATGTTTTCGCACGAGACGTGAAAACGAGTGGACGTTCCGTGATCGAGGCGAGTGGGCACGGTTTCGCGGTGCGGCCGCGCGCGGAGCCACACTCCTCCCGCTACGATCACCCACACTACTGAAGTGTGCCGCTTCACGGACGCGGCTCTTATACCCGCGACACTGGCGCCATCAAGCGTTCCTGGCCGGGCACCGCCAAGCTCGCGCGCCGTATCTTCGAAATGTAGCAAAACTGATTGTGAGCATCTTAACATCATGGAACAAATCAGAATAAATTTAGAGTCATTCGATTTTTCCTAGAAAATACAATAAAAATCTAGGGAATAATCGTAAATAATTCTAACTTTATTGTTAAAAATAACAAATAAAAAGAAATTTGTGAATAATTTCAAGAAATTATATCATCGAGATATGGAAGGATTTACTGGATCGCAAACTTTCGGGAAAATTTTCTCTCGATGACGATGAGATTGCATTAAAATTTTTTATTCGCAAGTCAATAGTAGAAATAGTTATACAGAATAGATTTTGAATGTATTAAAAATATTAGGTACATACAACGATCTGCGTAAAAATATATATAAGATTTAAAACGTTGTATTCGATTAATTCTAAACAATAAAAATAATTAACAAATATGATTAGCTAATTAAAGTAACTTATGCCTCTGTAATATTGCTATATTATTATTGCTATGTTATTATATTTGATTAGATAAAATATAGAAATATATATATCTTGACATATTGCACAAAATTCAACTAAAAAATAAAAAATTAAGTTATAAATAAAAATATATAATCTTTAATTTTTTTTAAGAAACTTTTAACAAAACGTTATGTATTTAAACATAGCATTCATTAATGCTAATATAGCATTAATAAATAATCTTACAAAATTATAATCTAAAATTATGTCACAACATGTATATATTATATGGATTTAACTCTGGTGGTCTATTTGAATTTATTTGACTCACAATGTAATTTAATTTCTTACTACTATTCTATTTAAAAACTTTTTTCTCTGATATTTACTTTCTGGTATTTCATCTCTAATGCAAGATCTTTTTTTCTGTAAATGTTTTTTATTTTTTAAAACTTTTTAATCATATTAACTCATGTGATCGTATAGTAAATTTTAACAGACCAGCAGAATTAAAACAGGATAAAAAAAATTTTTCAAACAAACTCTATTCAATCTTAAACTCCCTCGAAATCGGAGTTTTGTGGGACGGGATGAGAAATTTCTTCGTACTCTTGCCTGCCGTAACCTATAAAGAATTTAAACAAAGTAACATAATTAATATGTATGTGACGGAGTCTAATTTTATTTACAATCATTAAAAATATCTGTTGCAGCACATTATACTTTCATGCAACATAAATTCAAGCAAAAAGCAGTCTTAACAGAAGTGCCATAACTGGATACATAGATACCTAAGTAGCTAAAAATCATAGATTATTAATAATGCACAAAATAATTGCAGTTTGCAATAAAGCATACGTGCACATACTTAAAATCAGATCTTGACGAAGCACTGACGCACTACAAAAGCGTAGACGTGTAGCCAGTGATTTACTGACCCATGGCAGGACTTGGTGCGAATACTGTAGCTAAGTTGCCATTTCTTCCTTGGCCTATTCTCAACAGATATATACTCGAGATAGGACGAACGATTAAGTTTATGATCATAACAGCTGCGCTAAATTTTTCAGACCCATCTACAAATTAATGAAATTAAGAGTTAATAAAACCTTTTGATCAATAAATAATTTGTAATATCTTATTTTCCTTCTTTCTTTATTAACTGCAATGTATATATGTATATACATATATTCAATATTCACCTGTGATCATACTTGGATAATAGAGCGCTAATACGATAACATCAAGAAATATAGAGAATACATTTATGAAAAATGCCTGTAAAATATACACATATATATATAAAATTACAGCCATTTCAAATAAAAACAAATAAGTTCTCTCTTTTTACTTTTATATAATTTACAAATTGCAATAATAACTTACAAATTGCAATGGTTCATCAGATTCAACATTATGAACAGCCCAAAATATACAAACAAAGAATAGCAAGTTATAGAACAGTACAGATTTGGGACACCAATTCCCTTGCATACCCCTGTAATGTATCTTACATTTTATACATATTATAAAAATACAAGTTCTGATAAATACATAAAATCTTTCCACTTCAGCAGAGAATCCAAGCTGTCCTTACCATGATACAAGTAGCAAGTGAATGGCAAATATAATCTGAAAAATATAATTATAAACAGTATTGGTTTTATTGATCATGCAATATTTATAAATTGAACTGTTAATCGAAGAACAAAAATAAGTTATGAATTCAAATACACACTTAAATGTCAATTAAAAATACAATATTACGTCGTGAATATAGATGACAACATTGAAAACGCACACATTGAATAAGAAAGGATGTTCAGTTAACACTTCATACATTACCTTTAAAGGAAAATGGGATAAATTGGTTAGATTAGGCATCTTTGCCGCGCAACGGTAGCCAATATACCAATAATGACAGAGAGAATGAGACTGATTAATTGAAATGAGATTTAAAATATATTTCTCTGACCGACAAAGAAATATCTAATCTGCGTTTTACGCCTACAATTTTCGATTAGACGACACATACGTATGAATACTACATTACTGTATAATCACATATAGCGTATATCAGCTGTGCATCAGTAGCGCCAAACAACGCCTTTTGTAGCTATTGCTATCTAACTGCTTTACCTAAAATTGGTAAAATTGTTTCTGCTTGTTTTTACTAATGTAGATTAATTTAATCTACATTACTGACGAGAAACTATTAAAGAATGACATCCTTGTGGGAGTTCGCATCCTTATAAATATTGAAGTGATTAAGGGTTTTAAACTGATAATATTGAACTTTTACTAATTTTATGATTTATTAGTTCAGTAGACATATTTATGTATTTATAACTCAATAATACTCCATTTTTCTTTAAAACTGTGATTTCAGTGTCATCAAAGTTTGATTATCAAGATCAGAGATGATAACTGCAGAGAAAAAAATTATAATTTTTCTGCAATAAATAGGATATTATAGCTTTATAAGTGTGCATATTTATTTATGGGATAAAACATTTATGTAATAAAAAATCATGAATTTAATAATGTATGAGCCAAATATTTATGTTAATAACAAATTTATATCAATTGTCAGCGTAATGTCAGCATTTTCAATTACCTCCCTTAGGGTCCTTTTTATACCGCCGAAAATTTGCCCAAGGTTGATGGTCTTTAATATTATCTCGTCGATAATTTAACTTACCTTTTATTTTTTTCTAATTCTAAAAATTAAAAAAGAATAAAGAGTAAATTAAATCAAGATTAAAATCTATAAAATATAAAATTACAATATATTATAGTTCAATCATTGATGAGATCAGGGCACAGTAGATCAGAGTACGTTGGCTTGATTATAGGACTGAACTCTCACAGTTCATCTTTCTTCTCTTTTTTCTCATCAATGAAAAGAAAAAGAGAAAAGAAAAAAAAAGAGAAAATGTAAAACAGTGCAAGAAGTTTCATTAAAAAGAACAAGTCATTTATGTATCAAATGTCAAAATAAATCAAACGCCATTATGTCACATGCACGCATATTAATCGTATCAGAAAGAAACTTGAAAGATGACGCCGCACACTATAACTGTCCTCTAAAGAAATGGATGTAAACTACACCACAATATCCATTTTTTGCGGTGCTCCTGATGAAAATAGATTGCTGAAATCGCTGAAATAATTAAAATATATCGAATTAATAGAGATTCAGATTTCTCTCTGCCTGTAGTCAGATCTTATATTTAAGATCGTCTTAAGTACAATCTTAAGACTGTCATGAACTGAATCAGACAGCCGCATTAGCATCTTAGGATATTAAGATAGTCTTAAAATAAGAATTGATTGAATACTGAAATGAATACCGACCTTATGCATATTGCACACTGGAGAGATGAGCGTCGAGCGATATCCATATAAGAACTCTGCTTTGTATCGTTAAGTACAACAAAGTAGAATTTTCACGATCGAAGCTGATATGTAATATAAGAAATTTATTTGTTAAAATCTTTAAAATATCTAATTTTAAATATACTGTTGAAATTAAAAAAAAACAAATATAGGTTTTTAAATATAGCACGGGAAACATGGCGGACCAAATCAATGCGCTACTTTATTATATTGCAATTTGCAATTTGAAAAGTTGGAATTCTTCTAATTGTAAACAAATTACATTTAATTTAAAGTTGTATAAAGAAAATTTAAATGAATAAAAACGAATCAATTTGTATAAGAGGCCCACCACCTCCGTCGATTTTATTGGCGGTCCTCTTTTCTTTGTAAGTATACTTACTCGTAAAAAAACGAGCTATCAATAAATTCAGTAGTCCATTTTTGCAGGTAAGTATATTTTAAATTTATTTTTTATTTTTATGTCCAATTATTTTATTGTATTTCGCTAATCATATTGCATTTTTTAATATTATCTTTTATTGTAATCCTTTATACATTTAATAATATAATAATAATTGTTTACAATATAATGTACAATTATAAATGCTGTTTGAAATATAAAAATTATATTATAGAAGCATATAATTAACAAAATTTAGTAATATGGGATTATATAAAACGGCGAAAATACATACGATAACACAAATTTTTTTAAATATCAATGTTTAATGAAATATTGATAAATGCAGAATGAAATACTAACAAGAATTAAATCGCATTTACTATTAATTATTAATTTGTGATTATAAAACTCATTAATGTCACGATAAAAATTAAGTCACTAATATATTTACGACAGCACTTTTACCGCGTTCAAAATAACTATCCCAATAATTTGATCACATCAAAATGCCCTTTGCCTTGTTTTTACGCTGGTTAGTATCTGATACAAAGATGAACAATTTTCATAGGAGAACAAATTTGATGTATTTTCCAATTCTACATCAAATTCACAAAATCCATTCACAAAGAAAAATTAAGCAATCCGTCAAACATCACCGATCTTATTACAGGACAATATGAATCCCGAATCTTCCAGACTACTTATTATAGTAATAATTTTAGTTTCAATTATAATTACGATTATACAATTTTATCGCATCTTTAATATAATATTAAAATTCGCGAGAAAATATGTTCTATCACACATTACTAAAAATCATATAAGAATAGAATAATTTCCTTATAGAATATGGTTACGAAGGAATATATTTAATAATAATAAAATACATGCGTTATTGCAATTTTTTATATGTATGGGTACAAAAGTTTCTCGGATACCAACTGTTCGCGATAAATCGAATCTGATAATAACGGAATTTTAAAGAACTATACTTTCAAACTAAAAAATTTATTATATAAAATTTAACGATTCTCATTTTTCTGTATTTTTCCACAATTTTAATTATTAATATCCTGCTAATATGAGAGTACCCATTCGACTTATCTCGAATTTTTGACTCACATATTTTTTATTAATTTTTTTATTAAATGTAATCATGTTTTAACAATATCATTGTTAAAAGAACACAGTATTTTGTAAAATGGTAAAAATTATCTAAATCGACAAAAATCAAAAATTTGTTAAATATAATCTCATAACATAAATCTGCATGTATTTTATCATAAAAAAGTACACATAAATTAATAATTAACAATATTCTAGAATGGCGGGATGTCCAATACCTAAAAATGATTTGAAAATAACAGTTAGAAAATTAAATATATATTCGTAACCATATTTTTGTTAAAGCAATTATCGAAATATAAGCAAATTATTTGTATAAAACTTAAATTTATTTACTCAATAATTTGGATTTAAACAATCATTATATGTATATCCATATTAATCATATAATCATGTAATGTACTATATTAATTTCGATTAATTCAGATCCTGTACAAAAATATCCAACAGGACACCAAATTAGACTTTATGAATGGACTTTACGGAAAACGAGAAATAATTCTTCATGATGAAACCAATTTCGATTTTTCCTCGCAACAAATCACGCATCCATCTAATGGGGGAGGGACAGCGATAAGGCTTTCACACATAATAAATTAATCATTGAGATATACTTGTAATTTTGTAATGTTAAAAATATAAATGTCCAAAGCAAGCAAGAAGTTAATATTTAACCATTGCCTCAGTCAAAGTTTTACTAACTTATTTAATAAATTAAAATTTGTATATTAAATAGATAAAAAATTGACGATTATTCTCAAATTTTTAATTAGAAGCCACTCAAAATTATGTTTTTAAGTATAAGCCACTAATAATGACTTTTTGATATTCAAAATAAAATCCAAATTTTAAAATGAAATATCTATCAAACTCGTTAAATTAATAAACAATTTTTGTTATCGTATGTTTCATCGATTTCATGTGTAATTTACATTAATGAAACAACAATAAATTTCATTGACTACGACAAGATAAATGCTATCTGTATTAAATAGATATATTCAACGGATATATAAACAATTCAATAAATGTATAATTTTTTAGTAATTATTGCGCAAATTGCTAAAATAAAGTAAATATTCTGGCTTCATAAGCCAAAAATCGACATCAAGGGGAAATACTTTTTTTTTTGTTGCCGACTACTATCGTCGGCAATAAGATTTTACGCTTTTGTATAATGTGCGAAACACGAACGCGTCGCAAAGAGGCCATCATATTAATAAAATCGACTAAACATTAACATAAACAATTATAATTAATAATAATAATAATAATTCTATTAATATATGAATAAATTTCGCGTTTATTTTCTATTCGCATTTATTCAAAATCAAAAATGTAAATATTCGATTAAAAATAAATTTAAATTAAAAAAATCTTCATGCCAATAACGTTTTTATTTAAAAAATCGAATATTACGAAACTAGATTAAATTTCTTAATGTAAATTTTATAATGTAATCAAAAAAACTTAAAAATATTAATTTAATTTAAAAATAAATGACTAAAAATGACTAAATCAATTATCATGCGATAAAATTCAAGGCCCAAGTATGTATTTTTAACGATTCGAATGATTCGTTGTTAAATTTCATCAAAACATGCGGAGATGAGAAATTCAAATGAATAATGTAAGATCCGAAAGGGATAATTTTCCCTCACATCAATAAATATATCCCTATATAATATCATATTTCGTATATTATTATTAGAATCATTTTTTGAATAATTTAATATTTCAAAATTAAGTATTTTAAGTCATGCAAAACTCTGAATTTTAAAATAGTTATAAGATAAAATTCTTATATTTCTTGATAAAATATATATTGAATCTTACATCATGTTACTATTTTAACTAGTATAAAACCCAGTTACATGGATAAGTTATAAAAGATTAGGCTGAAGTAAGTGTACTGAGATAAATAATAATAATTAATAAACGTAAAATATCTTTTATAGAAAAGCGAGATTAATAAATTACATGCGCTACATTAACATTTTCATTATTATTTCATCAGTGTGTATAAATAAGTGTGAAACAATAGAAACAATAGAAGGAATTTTCTAAAAAACAATATATGGTACATATATGTGTATGTAGATGTTGCTTTT